GAATTGGGGGAGGGGAACAGACAAGTTGCTGTTTTTTTGTTCTTCAGTCTAGTTGTGGAGGACGGCGCTTCACTGGCCCATGTTGGTATTGTGATCATTGAGCTCTTCCCGGCTGAGGCAGATCAGTCACCGACCACTGGACGGCCGCTCACGGTAGCTTATGGCAGCCCACTGCAGCCCCACTGCAGCCTATGCCGTGGCCAGCAATTCACGGCAGCCCTGTGCCAAGTCGAGCTGTTGTTCACCATCTTAGCTGTAGAGGGTGCAACATCACTAGCCCTCATGTGGGATCCAAACTGGGGCCCTGCTTCTCAGAACTCGCACTCCCAAGCCAACTCTTAACCAACGTGCCACTCAGCCAGCCTCATCTTGGCAATTTTTGAGACCGCTTAAAGTCTCCACCAAGATCAAATCTGGAAAAATTTTCCAAAGGAAGCTAGTTTAATGTTGTATACCTAATCACTTACAGCATGACCCAATAGCTTTAGGTGAATCAGAATGTACCAAAAATGTAAAGCTGGGGGCAGAATTTGACCCCTGGTCATTCCTGAACTTTAATATATCATTTTAATGAGGAAATGTTATACTGGTGCATCAAAATACTAATTGTTTACCCTTTTCAAGCAATGTATATATTTCATTTTCTCAAAATCCAGTCACAGCTTTTTACACTCTATCTTTTGCTTTTCCTTAGGAAAAAACCTGGTCTTTGTATTAGAGTGTGTGCTCATAACACAGTAGATTGAACTCTTCAGGCTATACCACTTTAGGACTTTGAATTCTTACACTTGATCTTAGCCAAAAGGCTGAGATTCTTATAGATTTGACTACCTCACAAGTTGTTATATTAGACACATCCTCAGCATTGAATTAACTTTATTTATTCATTGATCAGATATTTATTAGGAACCCACTGTTATCTTCTACATTTCCAACTAGTGTTTTACTAGTAATACACTATTTTTTAAAATTATCTGTAATTTTAGTTTTAGGCCATGCAGATATGGTAGATGGATTGAATTACTGGCCCCAATTTTTTAAGCCTTTCTGTATCATGTCCTTTGGTAACACCCTTCTGTGCTAACTCTGAGCTTGGCCACGTAATTTGCTTTGGCTAATGGGATAGCAGCAGACTTGACACAAGCAGAGGCACGTTTTTGTTTCTTCCATTGGACCTCTGCCACCGCCATGAAAACAAGTGCAGGCTGGCCAGCTGGTAGATGGCGGAGGCTCGTGGAATGTTGAGTCATTTCAACCATCCTACCTGCTGACAGCTAATGCGTTAACATGCATCTAAGACCAACCCAACCTTTCCCAAACCAGTGGAACCACCCAGCCAACCTATAAACTCATGAGATATAGTAAATGTATGTTATTTTGAGTCACTAACTTTTAGGATGGTTTGTTATGTGGAAACAGCTAACTGATACAGCTAAGCCTTGGGAATATGAAGATGATAAAAGTGTCCTCTCAGAGCTCCAAAGACTGCACTTAAAAAAAAAAGCCACTGGAATCACTAATGAGAGTAGGACATAGATTTCTCTTCCATTGAATGATCCCAAACATAAAAAAACAAGTTTTTTTTTATTTAGTAATCTAGTAATGGAAATATATAGTATTGCTAAATTACATTGATTTTAAAGCAACATTTATAAAGAGCAAATATACAGGCATATATTACATATTAATAAGAGAAATGTGAAATTTATGCTAAATAATATATGTTGAAAAAAATTCAACAATTAAAAATGTGTTCTATGGCTTGAAAGTCTGTTAAGCTAAACATCTGTCTGCTCACTTACCAACAATTCTAGGAGAAATGAGTGCAGGTGTTCACCAAAAAATATGTTCTCCATTCATAGTAGCAAAAAACAAAAAACAATTCAAATGTGCACCAATAGAATGGATCAATAAAATGTGGTATATCTGCACAATGGAATGCACAAAAGCGCTTACCTTATGATTCCATGTATATGAAGATCTAGAAAAGGCAATGCTAATCTTGAAGGAGAGTGACAGAATAGCAGTTCCCTCTGTGGGAACCTTCTGGTATAATCAAACTAGTCTATAGAATTGGTTCTCAAACTGTGTACCAAGGACCCCTTTGTGGACCAGCATGTCCTCAAGAGCCTTTCAGAGGGTCTGTGAAGTTCTCTTGTCTCAAGTCCATCTGTGTGGGAAACCAGTTTCTTCATATGCGTCAATGAAAATGACATATCACAGCAGACTAAATGAAGAAAAAGATATCAGAATTCAGATGATTTCTATGAAGCAAGACATCAAAGAAATTTGTAACAATGTAAAACAATTTTTAGAAAATATAGTTATTTTTTATAAAAATATGCTATTTTAATAATACATTAGTTAAATACTAACACTGATGGCTTATTGTTATTTTTATTGATAAATATTTTGAAATTTGTTTCATTCAATTTCTAACAGTAATATTGACAGATATAATTCACATAAGCAAAAACTCTGAGTTTCTTAAAAATTTAAGAGTGAAACCAAAGATTTTGAGAACTACATCTTGAGCTGGGTGGTGGTCACATGGGTGTTTACATAGGTAAACACTAAATGGTCTATACACTTAAGATTTGTGTACTTTGCTGCATGTATGTATCTTACTTAAAACCATATTTTTAAAAGTATATAGGAAAATAGATACATGTTCATGATATAAAGCAAATTGGAAAAAATACACTATAACTTAGTTTGCAAAAACACATATTGCATTCAGAAGATCAAAAGAAATCATGCCAAAATAACAAAGCTTACCTCTGAATGCTGTTGTTAAGTGGGAACCAGCTAAGAGGCATAATTATCTGGAAGAGTTTTGAGTATAAAATTAAATCAGCAGGCTTTTCTTCGCTGCACACTTCCCATAAAGACAAAGAACAGGAAAGACCATGCAGAGTGCGGAAGAGCAGAGCTTGGTGCAGACCGTGTTCTCGTCACTCCCAGTTTTTTTCCATGCCAACTCTCCAAGTTAGCCACGGAAAACGATTTAAACAAATACAAAAGTAACTAAGAAAGAGACTCTGACAAGGGCTAGGAAATGACACACCCAGGGAAAAGAGTAAAAAATCCACTTAGAAAAGAGGCAGCTGTCAGACTGACAAGAACTAAAAGATAAACAAACAGTCCCAAGGGATTTTGCAGCAAAGTTAATAGTGTAAAGCAGAGATAAATGAGTAAAAGTGCATTCAGCTAAGATAGACATAACTTTGTACTGTGGCGCTCAGTGTGGCATCACACTGACCAGGGTTTAAATCCTAACTCCAATATTTACTAGCTGTGGACTTCAGGCATGCTACTTAACCTCACTGGATTTGGGCCTCGCATCTGTAGAATGAACATAATGCCACCTACCTCCCAGGGCTGCTGTGAGAGTTAAATGAGATTTTGAATGCAAGGAGTATACAGTTCTGGGGATATTTTAAGTGTTCGATGGTATTTTTAAAGATCGTCCATGTGGCTGTGTTTATTACCTTTTTGACTGAGAATTACACTTCATAGTAATACATAATCTATAGAATCCCTTCTAAGAATATTTAAATCCCGTCACTTCATTATTTTGTGTGGTATATGAAACCATGATTTTAAATTTTTGAAAAAACAAAGTATTACATCAATATATTATTAATGATTAACAAAGTTCATTTCAATAAAATGTTTAATAATATTCATTAGATATCTTCAGAGAGGCAAACTGCAACTTTTTTCAATATACCAAACTTTAAAGGAAGATAGCGCATTTTATTTATTTACTTATCAGTTGACAAACATTTAGGTTGTTGCCAACTTGGGCTATTTTAAATGATATTGCTGTGAACATTCATATACAAGTGTTTTGTATGAACAAGTTTTCATTTCTCTTGGGTATATGCCTAAGAGTGGAATTACTGGGTTATATGGCAACTCTATGTTTAACCTTTGGGGAACTTCCACACTGTCCCCCAAAGTGGCTGCATTATTTTACATTCCCACCAGTAGTATATGAGGGTTCTGATTTCTCCACATCCTTACCAATACGAACTATTATCTGTCTTTTTTATCATAGCAATCCTAGTATGTGTGTGGTGGTATCTCATTGTGGTTTTGATTTGCATTTCTCTGATATTAATGACATTAAGTATCTTTTATGTGTTTATTGGCCATTTGTATGTTTTTTAGAGAAATGACTATTTAGAGCCTTTGACCATTTTTAAGTTGTGTTATTTGTCTCTTTATTATTGAGTTGTAGGAATTCTTTATACATTTAAAATACCAGTTCTTTATCAGATATATTATTTTCAAAAACAAAATTTCCCATTCTGTCAGGTAGCTTTTTACTTTCTTTATGGTATCTCTTGAAGCACAAAAGTTTTTAATCTTGATAAAGTCCCATTTATCTATTGTCTTTTCTTTTGCCGCTTTTGATTTTCGTGTCATATCCAAGAAAACTTTGCTTAATCAAAAGTCACTATGAGTTATGCCTGTTTTTTCTAAGAGTTTTATAGTTTTAGCTTGTATATTTAGGTCCTTGATCCATTTTCAACTCATTTTTGTATATGATGTGAGATAAGGGTCTACCTCCATTCTTTTGTATATGGATATCTTGTTGTCCCAGCACCATTTGTTGAAAAGACTTTTTCTCACTTAATTGCCTTGGCACTCCTGTTGAATATCAATTGATCATAAATGTGAAGGTAAATTCACCATCACGCCCAATGACATTGCTCAAGATATGGATGACCTTCACCTAGCCAAATCTAATCGTCGTTTCTATATGCTTATCCAAAGCTCTTAGCAGCATTTGACACAGTCAACGATTGCCTCATTCTTGAAACACTCTCCTTTCTTTGACTTTATCACTTCATATTATATGGAAGCATAAACTTCCCATGATGCAGTCCCACCTTCTCCAAGGGAACTCCTTCTCTCCTTCCTTCCAAGCACAGAAGGCAGACCTCAGGAATCTCCTGTCTATGAAGCTTCCATCCCATCACATGCTCTCCCATTTCCCCCTTCTCAGGATGGAATACAGAACTTATGACCCAGTTAGCAATTACAGTAATACCTTGGTTTGTGAGCCTACTTTGTTCTGGAGACAAACTACTTGTATTGCAAGACATCACTTGTTTACCATGTTAAAATGTATTAGAAATGTTTTCTTGTCTTGCGGAACACTTGCAAACCACATTACTCGCAATCCAAGGTTTTACTGTAGTTCTAATCGCTCTTTATCTTTTGCTTTGATTTTTTTATGCTTTGTCTCATCACCCCACTTAGACAATAAGTTCACATTATTTTAGTCTCCTATTGCTGCAAAACAAATTACCACAAACTTACTGCAAACCCATTTATTATGTTACAGTTCTTTAAATCAGAAGTCTAGGCAGAGTGGTTGGATTCTCAGCTCAGTTTCACCAGGCTGAAATCAAATCTCAACTGGCCTGCATTTTCAGCTGTGGCTCAGGACTTCTTACAAATTCAAGTGGTTGTTTGCAGAATTCAGTTCCTTGCAGTTGTAGGACTGAGGTCCCCACTCCCTCGCTATCTGCTGGTCCACAGTAACTCTTAGCTCCTAGAAGCTACCTGCAGTTCCTTGCCACATGGCCCTATCTGTAGGCCCCCTTCGCAGCATGACAGCTTACTGTTTCAAGGCCAGCAGCAGAATCGCTCTGTTTGATCCCTCTTCTTTCGGAAAGGGCCCAGTCTATTTTAGGGGCTCACTTGATTAGGTCAGGCCCACCCAGGATAATCTCCATTTTGGTTAACTCAAAGTCAGCTGGCTTCTTACCTTAATTATATCTGCACAATTTCTTCAACTTTATAATCCAATAAAACTTGAGAGTGAAATTTATCATATTCCTAGCCCTGCCCATATTCAAGAAGAGACTGTACAGGGTATGTACATAGGGGGCGAATATTAGAGGCCATCTTAAATTTCTGCCTAACCGCATGTACACGCACACCCTCTAAGCACAGACCCTGAATGTTAAAGTTCAATTTTACATGTTTATAACATTTAACAATCTCTCTCCTTTAATCCCCATGTTACCGGCCAGTCGAGAACATTATCACCATTATACACATGGAGAAACTGTTGAGTCCAAGGTCACAAAGCCACATAATGGGAGATTAAAGAATAGAACGCATTTATTCTCCATTTTCCAAATTTCTGTTCTCTACTGAACCACCACTCTGTGACAGAGATCATCATATCTTATATCTAAAAACCATGATCACAATATAACCTGACATTTTATAATTACAGTTACAAAGCATGGCCATAGAGACAATGTCATTTAATTGTCATGGCAACTTATTAGTATGGGCTTTATCATTTCTTTTTCAAGTGAGGAAATGACTTGAGGAGTTCCACAACACACCACATAGCACAGTAAAGAACAAATAATAAGCTTTTTGGTTTTGATGCTATTAAAAATTAATTTATGTATATCACCACATAAGATGCTAGGTGGAAAATGCAAAGGTATATTATCCATGCCCCAGAAGGATTTATTTATTGATAATACATCAGAACTTGATAAATCCAATGCATTCCTAACATTAATTAGATCTTATTTAAATAATGCCAATCAAACAGGAGTTCAGCAGCATAATAAAATCTAAACAGGGCTTTGCTTTTAAAAGTCTAGCCTAGAGATCTAGCCAAATCTGATCTGCTGTCTGTTTTTCTGTAGCTCATGAGCTATGAATAGTTTTACATTTCTAAGAGATTGGGGGAAAAAATTAAAGAACACTGTTTTTGGAGTCATAAGAATTATATAAAATTCAAATTTCAGTGTCTATAAATAAAGTTGTATTGGAACACGGCCACATTCATCTATTTAGGTATGACCTATGGTTGCTTTCGTGCTCTCACCATATGGTTAAATAGTTGTGACAGAGACTGTAGCGCCCACAAAGTCTAAAATATTTACTATCTTGCCCTTTACAGAGCAAGTTTGCTGGCCCTTGATCAGCCCACTTAAACTGAGTCAACAAAGGGGAAGGGGATGGAGGTACCCCCAGAGTTGGGCCAAGTGGCAAGAACACAGCTTTTTAGCTTTTGGAGAGGAGAGGCAATAAAGGATCCTCAAAGACACAGGCTTTTTGAAACCCTGGGTCCGGGCAGTGGCAGGTTATGAAATGGGAAGACTACCTGACTGCTTTACAAGCCTTTCTAGAAGAAGTAAGGGTCTGCCTTAGACGTGGAGCCTGGCCCCTGCTGGCTGGGACAAGGAACAACAGCAGCAGTTACCTCTGGGACTGAGCAGTGGGAGGTTCCCGCATGCCCCAGGGCCTCACAGTGTCTCTGGGTAGCTCTGAAGAAGGGGAAGAAAACAATTAAGTGATCCTGGAATGTTGGTGTGTGTTCTCCAAAGAATATTTTATTGGGAGGTGATCCCAGGAAACAAGGGATTTGGGGGGTAGTACAATAAAGCCATAGTTATGGGGGATGTTACTGCTATGAGGGACTTGTGCTCAATCCCGCTGGGGACTCTGAGACACAGTATAACACTCACCTCAGAATTGCCCCACCAGACTAGCCGAAATGCCTTCAGGGGCCCCTTCTCCAGAAGGCCAGTCTTAATTCAAGTCTTAATTCAAGTCCTGGGCCACTGCTGCCCACGCCCCCTTTCTGCCTTGGATCACATTTAGACTTCTCCCTTCCCTGAACCCCAGGGGTAGACTCTTCTTTCCCTAAGCCAGAGACTGGGGGTTGGGGTAGATTGGGATGTGGAGGCTCAGTGGGGGTGCTAGTTTGGGCCCAGTACTGTAGAAGTTACATTATAAATCCTCAGGCAATGCGGTGTAATGGAAAGAACCCATGCTTGCAAGTCAGACTTCTCTAGGTCTGAAACCCGGTCCTGCCATTTACTAGCAATGGGTCTTGGCATAGTCACCAGCTTGCTGAGCTTTGGCTGGCTCATCTGTAGAAATGGGACACTACCTACTTGGGAAGAGCCTCTGCAAGATTAACCAAACCAATGTCTGTGAGCGCATAGCTTTGAGCCTGGCAACAGAGGGCAGGCAGGAACCATGAGTACCCCCTCACTTTCATCTGCTTAGGTTCATTCGAAAAATACTTAAACCATGACAGAGCTGGCCATGGACCATAACCCCTGACCCATCTTTCTATCAGCCAGAACCAGCCAACACCAAATATTACTTAAGCCCTGGGGACCCTGCCTGTGACCCAGCCCACACTTTCCATACTTTCTATACCGTCCTCATCCACCCCGTGGTACCTCAGGCAGAAGATGCAGAAAATGAAGGGGCAGTGGTGGTCTCAGTTTCTTGATGCTGAGCTGCCTGGGCATCTGACTCACCGGGTCAATTCCCATTCCTCGTCCTTGGGGACTTGGCTGTTTTTGCCAGTGAAGTGACAGCTCCTAAGGCCTAGAGTGCCAGCACTGGCATGTAGACACTGCTGCTTTGCGATGTTGTGGCGAAGGTCCCTCTGGGTTGTATACTCAAAGTACTAGAAGTCAAGACAAGAGGTGGTTCTCAGGAACAGGCGGAGAGTGTGACCACCACCTTCCAAAGCCATCTGCCCTAAGATGCCAACCGTAGATGCACCCCTGGGGAGGACCGTGAACAAGTGCCAAGACTTTAGTAATTCATGTGTCACTTTCAGGATTCTTTTTTTTTTACCTAATCTGGGTTATACTGGAGTATAGTTTCTTAATATTGTTTTCTTTAAATTTTTAACTTAGCTTCATTTTAAGCATTATCTGTAAAGCCATGTTGTTTGATACGCTAGTGCTTTTTGGTTAATAGGTTACTATTAAAATAAAAAACGTTCACCAAAAAAAAAAAAAAAAGAATTGTCCCACCAGGGATGAAGTCAGAGGGGCATTTATCCTATCCTCCAACTTCCTCCTTTCATTGGGGGAGAGATGGGGAGACGCCACAAGTGATGGAGGCAGAAAGCATGAACAAGATTATGCCCCAAAGCTGCAGGGGCAACAAGGTAAGAGTGGGGCATCATGAGTGTCTGCTTCCCTGGGCTTTCTTCCCCTCAGCCTTGGAGAGTTAGTGGAATTGGGAGAGGAGAGTCAAATGAGCCTTATTTTAATATAAACAAACAATAAATGGCATTTCCAGCTGCCAGTGTGTGCCAGATGCCTGTGGATGTGTGTTGTCTTCCCTATTGGACAGAAACTCCTCAATGTCAGACAAAAAGATGAGTCTTGACATGTGCTTAATGGGTTAGCCAATCAGGAAAAAATAGAAGTTTTTGCTCTCCCTTTTCTCTTTTACTGCCCATCCCCTGATATGGAGGCTGTTTTTGAGAACTGTAAACAACAAAAGCAAAACTCATAAATAATTCACAATAAGTGACTCTTAAATGATCAAAGGTGATCACCAAAACCCGTGAGAACTGACCAGCTCTGGGTCTTTATTGCCATCTCAAATTTATTTTAACAAATAGGATATATGTTAAATGTGCTATAATGTGCACTATATTTTAATAATAACAAAACCTATGGAGACATGACTGGGTGGTGAGTTGTTGTTTTTTGGGGGGTTTTTTTGGTTTAATTTTATAACTTAAAAATATGCAATGATGGTATTGTTTCCAGTTGAAATAGAATCCAGCCATCCTCCCAGATTTCAAAGGGTGTATAATAGAAAAAGCAGCTCGTAAGTGGGTCATGAACAATCTTGTCCATTAATCATCCCAGGTCCACTGCCTGTGTGTGCCAGGTGCCAAGAAAGCCACGAGACTCTGCCTCAAGGACAAGGTACTTTTCTAAATTTACTCTTCGAAGTTAAATTCTAATATTTGGGTTCACTAATATTTTGCATTCATATGAGACAGTGGACCTTGCACTAAGGGGTAGAGCAAAGCAACAGAGCCCTGAAAGATCCTTAGTAATCACACTCACAAATTTGTATGTCCTGAAATTCCTCCTTACTGATCTCCACTTAAAGCTGCCATTGGATATAAAATAGGCACTTCAAGTTTAACTTATTCAAAACAGAATTCCTGGGGATTTTTTAAGCCACTCCTTCACATGTCAGTTGTCAATGGTATTACCATCTTCCTAGCCTCAGGCTAAAATTCTAAAAATAACCTTTCCTTACTCTTTCTCTAATCCCCTTGGCCTAAACTATACTAGTAAGTAAATATTACAGACTTGTCCTCCAAAATACTTCTGGAATTAAACCACTTCTTAACACTACTGGGATAATCACCCTGGATGTAACCACTGTCATCTCACACTTTGACAACTGTAATAGCCTCCTGGTTTTATTTCCATTCATTCTTGAGCCACTAGAACCCTTTCTCCACCAGTAGCAGAGCAGCTCTCTTGAAGTATAAATTGCATCGTGTAAGTCATCTGCTTAAAATCCCCTAATGCTTCCTTCTGCACTAAAAATAACAGCCAGACTCCTTTCCTGAGCATAAAGCTTCACATGATCTGGCCCTTGCTATTTCAGTTCTCTATTGTTGCATAACAAACCATCCCAAAGCTTAGTATGTATAGCAACAACAATTTATTATTTTTCATGATATTCAGCAAAAGAACAGCTGGCCAGTTCTGCTGTTCCATTTGGTATTAGCAGAAGTCACTTGTATGGCTGTGTTTGATTGGGAACCCAACTGGAGTTGAATGAAATGATCCACATGGCTTCACTCACATGTCTGGTGCCTCAGCTGGGATGGCTGCCTCGGCTTCTCCATCTCCACATGGTCTGTTGGCATTTATTTGTCAAGTTCAAGCTCCTTTTCCTGGCATCTCAAGAGGAAAGCGATGAAGCTACCAGTATTCTTAAAGCCTAAGCCAAACTGCACATCAATCACTTCCACCACTGTTGGTCAAAGCAAGTCATAAGGGCAGCCCAGGTTCAAGGAAAGAGGAGACAGGCCTGCCTCTTGATTAAAGGGGTGACATAAATGTACAACAATGGGAGGATTTTTTGGCAGCCAGCTTTAGAAATAATCTTCCACACCTACGTAGTCTCGCTAATCTCATACCACCCTATACAAGCCACACTGAGCTTCTTTGTCTTTCCAGTAATTGCTGAGATAGAGACTTCTGTCATTCCTCCCAATATCTTTCTGTCCATTTTCTTCAGGAATAGAGCTTCTGGGTTTCAGCAAGTTTCATGGCTTCTCAGAATAAATACTACATGTCCCAGTCTGCTTTGAAGCAAAGTATGACCATGTAACTGTTCTGAGCAATGGAACGTTGGGGAAAGGGTCCAGTGGAAGTGTTAGCAAACCTTCTTTAAAAGACATCACTTGAGGGTGGCCGGTTAGCTCAGTTGGTTAAAGCAGAGTGCTCCTAATACTGAGGTTGCCGGTTCGATCCCCACATGGACCACTGAGCTGCACCCTCCACAACTAGACTGAAACAACAGTCCCAGAAAAACACACTGTTTCCCCTCCCCCACCCCCCCAAAAAAAGGACATCAGTTGTCTTTTCTTTGACCCATTTTTGCCTATACCTTTTGCTCCTTCTTGCTGGTTGGACCATGAAGGATCATTGAGAATAAAGGCTTTTCCAGGTTAGAGATGTCTGAGTCTCAGACCATGGAATAGCCTACCAGCCCTGGAGCCACGATTCCTGGACTTTCCTTTGAGAGAAATACACAGCTGTCTTGCTTCAGTTGTTTTGGGTTTCCCATCTCTCACTGCCAAACTTAATTTTTCCTGATGAGCATTTCCAGCAGAGGGAACAGCAGGAGCAAAGGGCCTGTGGCAGGAGACCATCCATAATGTGAGGAAAGTGAAGGGGGTTGAGGGATTATAGGAGAGGTAATATCATATACAGCCTTATAAACCTGTTTTTGTTGTTGTTGTTGCTTTGTTCTGTTTTTTGCATCTGAATGAAATGGGAAACCACTACAGTTTTGAAGAGGGAGTGATATGGTCTCACATATACTGTGGAATCACTCTTGATCCCATATAAAGTAAAAGCCCTGGGAGGGCCAAGGCAGAAACAGGGAACTAACTAGGAGGTTTTCATCTAGATGTTAAGTGATGGTGGCATTGACCAGGGAGATAGCACTGAAGATGTTGAGAAGTGGCCAGATCATGGACCTACTTTAAAGAGAAAGATGGCAGGATTTGTTGATGAGATAAATGGAGTATATAAGGGAATGGGAGAAATCAATGGTGGTTTAGAAGCTTTTGTTCTGAACAACTAGAGTTGCTGCTAATTGTAATGGAGGAGGTTGAGAGGAAACAGAGTTTTCGGGGGGTAGAAGCATAAGGAAAATTAAGAGTTTTGGGGTTTAAGTATTGTATTAGTCAGGGTTCTCCAAAGAAACAAAACTGAGAAAGAGAAGAGACAGAGCTAGAGCTAGAGCTAGAGCTAGAGCTAGAGTTGAGAGAGAGAGAGAGAGAGAGAGAGAGAGAGAGAGAAACTTTAAGGAAGAGGTACTCAGGATTACAGATGCTGGCACATCTGAAATTTGTGGGGTAGGTCCACAGGCTGGAGATTCAAGGAAGAGCAGATTTTGTAGCTCAAGTCTGCAGACAGTCTGTAGGCAGAATCCATTCCTCATCAGAAAATTCAGTTGTTTCTTTTTTCTCTTATGGCCTGCAAGTGATTGGATAAGGCCCACCCACATTATGAAGCATAATCTGCTTTATTCAGAATCTACTGATTTAAATGTTGATTACATAAAAAAAAATACCTTCACAACAACATCTAGCCTGGTGTTCGACCAAACACCTGGGCATCATTGCCTAGCCAAGCTGACACATAAAATTAACTACCATGGACATGTTAAGTTGGAAATGTCTTTATATATTCCAGTGATGATGTTGAGTAAGCAGTTGATTTACTTGAGGTGAATCTTTGAGATCATCAACATTTCATTTAAAGAAACAAGACTGAATAATATAAAGAAATGTGTATAGGAAGAGAAGAAGTTTGAGGACTGGGCATCCCAACCTTAGGAGTTAGGACACAAGAGGAGGAGTCACCAAAGGGAACTGAAGAAGCCGTGACCCATGAGTCACCAGGGGAGTGCAGTGTTCTGGAAGTGCTTCCAGGAGGAGGAAATGGTCTCTGTGTGAAATTCTGCTGATAGGTTATGTAAGACCTGAAGATTTACCATTGCATTTGGCAAATTGGAAATCATGAATAACCTCATGTATTGGTTAGGGTTCAACAAGTTAGGGTTCAAACAGAACAAAAGGAAGACATATATTAAGAGATTTGTTTCAAAGAATTGGCTTATGTAATTGTGGGGTTGACTATGTAAGTGAATTTTAAAGGGTAGGCCATCAGAAAGGACAGGCCATAACTCTCAAAACTGGGCTGAAGCTGTGTCTACAGACAGGTTTTTTTTTCTTCAGGGAAGGCTTAAGGCCTCCAACTAATTGGATGAGGCCCACTAGGTTATCTAAAATATCTCCCTTGCTTAAAATCAAGGATTTTGGATTTTAATCACATCTACAGAATATCTTCACAACAACACTTAGATTACTGTTTGATTGAATAGCCAAGCCTAACCAAG